TTACAATTTCTTCTTGCTGCGAGTGGTGAAACTGCGGGGCACGATAACTTTTACACGTTGTAAGAAATTACTTGAGTCAATACTACGAGTACCTTTTAGAATTTAAATAAATACATCAAATGAGCACACAGCTACGAACTTTTAGGGGAAGAAAGTTGTGCCTTGCACAGCATTTTGTATATGATCTGTAAACCGATGTTTTAAATTACATATTAAAGTTTTTTTTGTACGTTTTCTAAATGATTAATACAAAGGGAGTAGTGCGGTTTCCAGACTTGGGAATTAAACTGCAAAAATACTTAAGCGAACAATATCGAGACCTTTGTCATCCTGACATTTTAAAATTGGGCGCGAGATCTTATTAAAAAGACAAGTGATTTTAATGCTTTATTTTCAATTTGTTCAATGTATTGATCGTAATTCGTAAATTATCTTAGAATATTGAACTACCGATTGTTTATATACGTAATTGAATTACTGAAAATGTATTAGAATTAAACTGAAAGCAGCATATATTTGAGTGAGTGATCTATTTTTTTTCAACATTTTTGCAACTAATTTTATTGTCAAGTACACTCGTTTCACTTATTTTCCATTATGAGACTGAGAGTGATAGAAATCCATAGAAAATAGCTGCTCCAAATTTTTATCGAGCAGCTTGTAAAGTAAAAGTCTACAAATAAGAGATCAAGAGCAGAGTTTCGTAAACAATCCAGAATCGATGGCAACCTTGTCACTAACAATATGCAAGATTATATGTTTGTCATTCCATTTTGGTATAACGGCCCATCTGATTTTTTGACATTATCCTCTGAAGCAGTCCAGTGCAACATAGCCAGATGGCTAGCATGGCAACCTTGTCCCTAACAATGTACAAGATTATATGTTTGTCATTCCATTTTAGTAAAACGGCCCAACGGATTTCTATCACTTTATCAATTCAATAGTTGACACAACTATTGTTAAATGTTTTATTGGAAATTGTCAAGTGGCAGACAAATTCCAGTACTGAAATAACTAATAGTATTTTTAAGGGGAAAGATTTAAATGATCTAGAAAAAAAATGTATAGTAATAAAAAAACAACTGGTCACCTAAAGGTTAGGTTAATTTACCAATTGTATTCTTTTAGGAAATCTTTTCTTTTTGTACCATTGAGCTATTTTTAAGAAGATAACTGCAATCTTTCAACTATGACACTGTCATATCAAGAACTCAAAGAAACGGTTGAAACTGTAATCGCTTCTATTACTTGATATTATTCACAATAACAACACGAAGTCACAGAAATGAATAGCGAGAGGCGTGCTTAAAACGCCTACCCACATAATTAAGATGTAGATGATAGGGTGTCACAGTAATTTTGGGCGTATATATGAACCTACATGTTATGTGTATGTTGCGGTGCCTCGTAAATCCGCGATTACGCTGCTTGTGAAGGTTTTAATTAGAGCTGCCTTCCTCTCTCCCCCTCTTTTCTCTTTCCTCTAATGTATACCAGCCGATAAACTGCCTCAATAGCTTGCGATTCCAACAGAAAATTGAAGTCTTGGTTTTCAACAACAAGTTTCAAGGCTTGCTGCAATATTCTCAAATATCATATTCTTAACAATTGAAAAGCTAGACATGTGTTTATATAAGTGGATGTCAAGGAATATAAATGGAGCTGAGACTCGCGTGCCTTGCCACAACATCAAATTCGAGTGGTCTAGAAGCTCCAGACTGAGAGAAGACTCCCCCCGAGGGAAGATGCCATCCATCTAAAATAAATACCTCTGGGGCATTCGCCAATTCTCGAATTGAGGTCCCGTTAGAACCTCGCCATTCCCAAATCCAGTGACGCTGTAAAGATCAGAAGATACGAACAGCTTAAACACTCAAAAAAAGTGTCTTCCCGTGTTTTTGGAAGTACGGAGCAACTTTAACTAACACATTTTTGGTCATTTATCCTTAGACTGGCTATTGCGAAAGTTGCTTCAAAGACTTCATCTTTATATATATAATTCTTCTGTGAGTGTGTATGTCACTGAACTTCTCTTAAACGACTGGACCGATTTTGATGAAATTTTTTGTGTGTGTTCAAGGGGATCTGAGAATGGTTTAGATTCACAAAGACGTGTAGACAGGACAACGTCTGTCGGGTCCGCTAGTAATAATATAATAATAATAACATTTATTTCAGATTATTTATCCATAATGGTTAGTAACAATTATGCTTACAAATCTAGTGTTAGTAAATTGAATTCATAAAATAAAATTAAATAAAAAACAAAAAGATTCATATTAATAATAAGATTAACGACTAAGGAGTCACCGTCGCTGTATGCAGATGGATCCAGCGCATAAGCAGCGGTGAATCCCAGCGTTCGGACAGCGCGCGCACGATACTGTTCAGCACCATCGAGCTCCTTATAGTATAAACTCTTTATTTAGGAAATGTTATGGGGAATAAGAAAATACATAGTTATATATTCTTACAAACACCGCTGCAACATGCATCGGAGGTCTGCCTCTTCACGTCTAAGTGCACTTCCCCGTTGTCCCAGGAGAGGTTACTGTTTAACATCCAAGTTCCGTTTTTATGACCTATACTCACTTAAACAAGTATCGACTGGAATGTGTACACTCTTCGAACCGATCTAGTTGTTCAAACAGACACTTTCTCGAGGAAAGTACTCAAGCCCAGACATTGCTCATGCAGATTGGAAAAGTTTCCAAAATAACCAATTAAATTACAGCAACCGATAGCGGGCTCTCTCCGAGCCGCTCTTGTCCGCTTTAAATTCATCGCCGCCGCCATTTGCATGTTCATTTCTTCAACTTTCAGACTCCTCAGCCCCTCGTTTAATGTGAGGTAGGGTAATGAGCTGGTGGAATTCACTAGAATTGCAGATTGTTGCGCAGTGAAACAGTTTTTCGTTATATATATTTCGCCTATAGTGTAATTAAAGCAATTCCAATTTTCTTTTTAATTTGTATTAATCTCAGTATTAATATAATAGTTTTCGATTTGACATGACATAAATTTAACTCCATTTGGTTTTAATTTACAAAAATATAGAACCATTCCCAATTTCGTAAGAAGTCTTAAGGAACCGAGAGATTAGGGGATGGCTGAGTTTGGAGAATATTGGGCAAAAACCAATTGACCCCGTTTTAATTTCGCTGATACGCTATTGAAGAATACGTTTTTGAATGTCTTATTTTCTCTATATCTATTATGCTAATAAACTATTGAAATTTCTTTTATGGTTCGGTTGTAAAATCTTAATTTAATTAAGATAAAAATTGAATAAAACTAGTTTTTAACGGGTTAATGCACGAAACTTTATTTATTTATTGATGTTTCGCAGCCTTTACAGGCTGCTTCGTCGGAATGATTTTTTATTTTTTATCATTCCGACGAAACAGCCTGTAAAGGCTGTGAAACATCAATAAATAAATAAAGTTTTGTGCATTAACCCGTTAAAAACTAGTTTTATTTAATGAGTGATGTGCGTGAAAACCTAAGAAACAAATAAGATAAAAATATAACAACATTCATCAACTGTTATACGTAACGAAGTTCGCTAGTTTGATAAAGTCTAGGTACCTCTAGAGGACCTCGATGGCGCGGATGGTTAGCGTGTTCCGCTGCGATTGTTGAAGTTAAGCAACTTTCGCAGTGGTCGTTCTTTGGATGGGTGACCAAAAATTTACTATCTCGAGTTTCTCCTTGCTTCGGAAGGCACGTTAAGCCGTTTGTCCCGGCTGCATCTGCAGTCGTTAGCACCCGCCAATCCGCACTGGGCCCACGTGGTGGATCATGGCCCAATCTCCCTTTTCCATCCATACTCCATAGGGAAGGCCTGTACCCAGCAGTGGGGACATTAATAGACTGATGATGAAGTCTAGGTACCTAACCAAAACTTTGTGTCAGGCAGGACCAGCGACGCGAGAGGTTTACATATTGGCGCCTGCCTTTTTTCGCACACTGTATACGCTATAGTCTATAGTGTATAGTAGGTACGGCATCGGTGAGCCGCGCCAGATTTACGAGGTCATATTTCATCCGCGGCCGCCCGGCGACCGCTCTGACCCGCTGTAGCCCTGCCCGCGTCACACCCTTACCAAATTAAAAATAACGGAAACCTCTGAAAATGTATCCTACTATTTGGAGCTAGCGTGATTTCGGCTTACAAGTCACACACACACACACGCACACAAGTACGCACAACATGCATACACCATTTTATCTCATCCAGGCTTAGCAAAGCATCAACGCTGCAACTTGAAACTAAAAGCATTTTTTATAGGCAAAAACAAACTTAAAGTCAAAAACAAGTTCAAAAATCACAAATACACACAACATGCATACACCATTTTATCTCATCCGCGCTTAGCAAAGCATCAACGCTGCAACTTGAGAGTAAGCATCATATTATAGACAAAAAAACAAACTTAAAGCCAAAAACAACTTAAAAAATCACAAACACGCACACAAGTACGCACAACATGCATACACCATTTTATCCCAACCGGGATTAGCAAAGCCTCAAAGCTGCAACATGAAAGCAAAATCTTCATCTGCACAACCAAACCGATGGTATAAAAGCGATGGTATAGAAAATATGACGTCTTTTAGGCGTCATATTTTCTATACTATTAACTTAACGAAAGTTAGCATCGGATTCTATTTTTTTCTATTGCTCCCAGTCCAGCATCATACAAACCTATAAAGTTATAAACACACTATATAACTCGCCACAAATATGTTTTACCAAAACCATAGGATAGATAAATTCATCTAACCATATTTCATTCGGCAAATGTATCATTTTATATCGTCCGCAAAAACGAGCTCGAATATTGCTTAACAACAAAATGGATCTTATTGCATGTAGATTGATAATCATAAGGCGATTACATCGGATTCGATCAGCGCTTAATCATCAATTTCGTGATTAATGTGTTTAGCCCCACGAATACATCACGGTAGGAATTGATTCATTGAGTTATGAGATGGAGGTCACTCGGCCGGAACGATATAATTCAATTTTGTCATGTTTAGTGTGTATCTAGAGTTCATCTTTTCCTTTCCATTAGGTACATCTTCTAACGATTGGTTTGTTTATACATTGTGTGTGCTCATACTGCTTTCATTTATATCGACCTCTTCCATAGAGTAATATGTACACCGATTTTTAAGGTTTCTTCTACCTAGAAGTTCTGGATTTCCAATCCCAATAGTTTGATGAATATGATATTGTTCTTGAGCCATTACTGTTTATCTGTACAAAAATACATATAAATGTACCAATCTGTGTATAATTATATATTAAATATTTGTAATCCAATAACACAAACCATACAATACTTACTTTGGGGCTAGGCTAATTGGTGTGAGCTTCAAGCCCAGGACCTCTTGAGTAGTTGACACCTTCAAAACCGATGTACACACCACTCCACCACGGAGATAGCAAAGTAAACGAGTGATAGACGATATGAAACTATGACGAGAACCTTTTCATTGCTCCAGAGTTTGGAAGACAGCAAACAAGCGTATCAAACTATACATATAACCTTCTCATTGCTCCAGAGTTTGGAAGACAGCAAACAAGCGTATCAAACTATACATATAACCTTTTCATTGCTCCAGAGTTTGGAAGACAGCAAACAAGCGTATCAAACTATACATATAACCTTTTCATTGCTCCAGAGTTTGGAAGACAGCAAACAAGCGTATCAAACTATACATATAACCTTTTCATTGCTCCAGAGTTTGGAAGACAACAAACAAGCGTATCAAACTATACATATAACCTTTTCATTGCTCCAGAGTTTGGAAGACAACAAACAAGCGTATCAAACTATACATATAACCTTTTCATTGCTCCAGAGTTTGGAAGACAACAAACAAGCGTATCAAACTATACATATAACCTTTTCATTGCTCCAGACTTACGAAGACAACAAACAAGCGTATCAAACTATACATATAACCTTTTCATTGCTGCAGAGTTTAGAAGTCAGCAAACAAGCGTATCAAACTATACATATAACCTTTTCATTGTTCCATAGTTTGGAAGACAACAAACAAGCGTATCAAACTATACATATAACCTTTTCATTGCTTCAGAGTTTGGAAGAGAGAGAGAAGCGGCATTCCGGTCACAAGGAGCAGCTTGCGCGCGAGCAGCGCTACCTCAGGCGGCGGCTGGCGCAACTGCGGGCGGCGCCGTGCGACGTGCCCCTGCGCACGCTCGGCGAGACGGTGTTACCGCACAGCACGCGCGCCGACTCGCTCTCCTCGCTCGAGTCCTCGTCCGGCGTGTCCACTGCCGAGAGGTCGCCTTCCTCCGTCTCCGAGAGCGGTGAGTGCCCTTCTCTGCTCGATAATATTCACTTCTATCTCTTTCTCTGGGGTTGGACCCTCATGTCTGAGGATCGTAGTCAGCGTCACAGTTTCATCCGGAGCGGACGAGCTGCTTCCACCGGTTTCTGTCCAGCGCCTCTCTTACAACCGTATAGAATTTCGATAAGGACGGGACGAGCCTATAATTTAGTCGATCCATTAGGTTGAAGAACGACCACGCGATCTTTTGCCTTCATCTTTTGACTTCCGTCCTTTATATAATTGGGTCGATTGTAGTTTAACTGCGCGTCCCGAAAATAATTCACCACCATGAGAAAGGTCGATGATGCTTTGACCAAAAACCTTTGTGCCTTACTTTAGTTTGAGCAGAAGATTGTAAAAGCGATTCAATCAACGTGCTCATTCTTAAACGTCTTTTATATCTAGGCTAAGCTTTATGACGTATTCGCATCAGAATAAAAAAGGAAAATCGCGCGTTTATATTCAACCTTATGGTGGTGGGCTTAAGGGCGGTCGGAAGTTTTCCCCGTAGCCTGGAAGCGTACATCGTAAGAGGCTTAGCCCAGAGGGTCGAAGGCGGCCCTCCTATATTGTTACCTTTTATTTATGCATTAACTTTTGCAATTTAACTGTCAGCCGCACACTTATTCGCGGACGTACATAAATTCGAGATCCATTGTTGGCGGGTAGGAAAAAGTTTGCCATCCCTGGCTTTATTGCCGCTTTATGCCAACTCGATTGATATGGTAAACACCGGCTTTATTGGCCGCATAAATAGTTGGGAGACGATTAAATGTCTCATTAAGCGCCATTATTCTTCAGTGCTCTTACAATAGGAGGCGGGTGTAACACAGTTCATGTCGCAACTGGTATACTGGTTAACTTGGAATAAAAGAATATCCGCTCGAATTGGAGCGCCCGTCTGGGGAAGCAACCTAAACTTAACAAAAGACCACAGCAAAATAACAGAATCTTTTGGTGGTGTATCTACCGGCGCTAGGGTTCCAGGGTTTCCGTGGGGTAGGGCATTGTGTTATGGCGGCCAAGGTGAGGATGTCTGCAACGGCTCACTTTCTGCCGCATCACCTATCTTCGCGACTGGTCTTCACTTACACTTTACATCAGGAGGGGTGGGGTAAGCTGCGCCTCGTATAAAAAAAAATATCATAGGCAGTAAGAATTGAAGAATGTGTGTAATCTATTCACACACTTTAAATCAGATATGGTGTATTTAATAAGTGAGGTAGATATTGGGGGGGAAGAATCTCTACCTTACAGAAGAGCGCAATGAAATAACACTACCTTTTCTTGGTGTTGTGTTTTGTCCGTGTGTAAGGGCGCTTGTTAACAACACGATTTCTACCCGGATCTAGGCAAGGTTTTAAACCGTGTCTACGCCAGGTCGTCAGTTAAGAATGGGACTGTATGGAGGTTTGTAAACGACACCGGCACTAGATAACAAGACGATTTCTACCCGGATCTAGGCAAGGTTTTAAACCGTATCTACGCCAGGTCGTCAGTTAAGAATGGGACTGTATGGAGGTTTGTAAACGACACCGGCACTAGATAACAAGACGATTTCTACCCGGATCTAGGCAAGGTTTTGAACCGTGTACGCCAGGTACGCCAGGTACGCCAGGTCGACAGTTAAGAATGGGACTGTATGGAGGTTTGTAATCGACACCGGCACTAGAATAGTTTGGGTCGGTAATACCGTACAAAGAGTACTCGTGAACAAACTTAGCCGGCACCGGCCCGGGTAGTAACCGTGCCTAGACCCGGCGGAAAACCGGTCGTTAACAAGCACCCTAAGGGTTCCACGGGGTAGGGGATTGAATTTAGGTCGGCAAGGTGAGGATGACTAGAGGAATATATTTTTCTATTACATCTTCGCGACTTACATCATCATCATCAACAGCCTATCATAGTCCACTGCTGGACATAGGCCTCTCCAATACACGCCACTCAGATCGATCTTTGGCTACTCGCATCCAGCTCCTGCCGGCCATCTTGCGCAAATCGTCACTCCATCGTGCCTGAGGACGTCCTACACTACGTTTGCCTAGACGCGGTCTCCACTCCAGAACTCGTCTACCCCAACGGTTATCGGTTCTTCGGCAAATATGGCCAGCCCACTGCCACTTCAACTTGCTAATCCGGTGGGCTATGTCGATAACTCTGGTTCTCTGTCGGATTACCTCATTTCTGATGCGATCTTCAAGTCTGATAAAAATATAGTCTCATATTTGTCAGATAAGTCCTACCTACAGTCGGCAGGCGGCTGGCCATTTGTATGCTGATGCGGAAACCGTAAAAACAAATATTTGCATTTCAATTGAAAGTTTAGGGTAAGCAGAGCGGTAGATATAGTGTGGCTAGTGTATCGGGCTTGCCCTTTGCACGTTTTTACCGATTCTGCTTCGGTACAGGTGCTCTTAATTTATTTAAGCGCTTAATATATGTTGGAACCTTCTAAAAACATGGGTATTAGATTGGAAAAGGGCAGGCTGTTAATACCGAGTTATATGCTTGAATCGGAATTGCCTGGAGATACTTTTTTCTATCTAGCTAAAACAGCGACGATATAGCTGTTCTGCAGTTTTATTAGATTTCTATGTAAGCATTTAATAACTAAATTTTTAAGAAGTATTGCAGTGTTTTGTTTTTATATAAATGTTAACGATGGACTGTTAAACTAAATGAAACTAATGGATATAATCTAAATAATGGGTAATTTTAATGAAAACAAACCAGCGAACTTGACACAATCGCAATAACTTTATTATTTTTTTAAAAAACTTACAAAAATATGACGCAATGACATTTTAAAATTTACCTATACGAAAAGTTTCTATCAAAATACTTGATAACTAACTAATCGTTGGTCACCCATCCCTCAACCAACCTTTGCGAAAGTTGCTTAACTTCTGCAGCCGCTTACTAAAGCTGTAATTACGAATAGATTTCGTTATCTAAATATTTGTTAGTGGGAAGCCGGGCAATCTGTGCATTGCCTGCGGCTGACCGGGTGGTGTGGTGTGAGGGCAGGCTTCCCCCTCCAAGGGGTAGACAGGCATGCAATCGTATTACTTTAATCGCGTATGTGAAGCGACGCGCGTACAATCGCCACGTAATATAAATTACATACAGGTAGGGCTGACAGCTGTCCAGTATCCTTATGTATTCCTAATAAAAAAAAATTATATTACACTTTTGAATTAGTCTAGTCCCAAAGTAAGCACTGTAAAAGGCTTGTGTTATGGGATACTAGGGTAACCGATAGAATACATATATTGTAAATATATAAGTATACTTATATAGAAATACATATGAAACATCCATGCCAGGAGTACAAATGCTCGTATTCATCGCACAAACATCTGCCCTTACTGGGATTCGAACCCGGGACCGACACCATGAAACCCGGCGTACAAAACACTCAGCCACGGAGGTCGTCAATATTATAATTGTTAAAATGCTCTTTCTGTCATTACGCTTCCGGAACAAGTTTCTTTTCATCGCAAAAATAAAAACCTACGCAGACGAAATCGGGCAATCACTAGTATGATTAATTGAATGAATTTTATGATTAATCTTATTATCTCGATACACTTTTACGGGGCAGTTGCCTCATGACCACGACTAGCGTTGCCAGGCGTCCGGATAAAGCCGGACATAGACTTTTTTATTTTTTATTATTATTTATTTATTTCCCAATTACATTAACAAAACATATAAGTAATAACGGCGAACAAAAACCATGCAAGGTTTGTCCGTCGCCGTGTTCACCAGTTGGACAGTAGGTACATACACAAATTATTATTATCAATGAGGTGCAGGTAGAATTACTATTGTCCGTCCTAGGATCGCGCACCTCGTCATATCGCCATTGTGTTGATGACGATGGCAGAGTGGTGCGGCTACATTTTGTACATAAGCGAGTTGGAGTAAGACGGACATATAGTAATCCCTCTCTGCAGTATCGGGCCACAGAAGCGCCAAACTAGTTTTCGCCTTAACAATACCTAGTGCATACATGATGATTACATTTACACATTGTTTTTTCTAAATTATAATAAGCAATATACAATCCCCTGAAAATAAAAAATTAAAAGTGCATGCAATGAAGGAGAGCAATAACCATTACTTAATAAAACAGAAAAGATTGTTACTACTTATGCTTATCACAATTGAATTCAACAAAGTATTTCTTAAGCACATATTTGATATTCTTTTTCATATTTTGATTGCGTGTCCGGCCCAAATAAACGGTGTCCGGCTTGTCCGGCTTTTTGCATTTCCCAAACGACCGAGCGGCGAGCGTGGCCGAGCGCAAGCGAGTTGACTGTCGATATTATATACATATTTTTTTTCGTAACTAATATTACTGAGCCAGAAAATCCTCAATAATGTAAGGCCTTTTTACCCAAATATCCGGGCAAACTGGCTGTTCTATCCGGCTATTAGGTTTGGCAAACCTAACCATGACAGGTGTAACCTAGTCGAAACATCGTAACAAAGATGATACGAAAACCTTTATTATGCCTAAAACGTCCAGTCAATGTATGCTAAATGCCTGAAGTGACGTCGACATGTGTGCAAAAGAAGATAGCGAGTCGACTTTTCTATGTTTTGTTTATCTATAATCTGTAATGATATTTTATCAAAATTAGAAAAAGAATAATTAAAATTCAATATCGTTCATTCAGTCTAGGCAGTTACAAGCACTTGTGAATGTCGAAAAGCTACGCCATCGGTTTATAAATCTACGGCGGGAGACCTTGTACTAAGAAGAACCAGCAAGAAACCCGGCAAGGGCTGTTTTTTTCTCCCTGTTTTATTATTTACAGAGTCGTCAAGTTGAAAAATGACTTCAGAGATGATTCATGAAGTCACCCTTCATTACATAATGTTAAATTATACATTAACTATATGTATATATATATAT